TCCGTTGTGTGTCCCCCCCCCCAACACCCCGGGGGAGCGACCCCCGGGGCGCTGCCGCTTCCTGGTCTCCCTCTCCCGGGGCCGCCCGTGCCTGCGGTCTCTCCTAGGCCTTGAATCCCGGCCAGGTTTCCCTCAGAGGGTCCCTCCGGCGCGGCCGCTCCCGGGCCGGCTGCCGCCCTGCGCGGCGCTTTGTATCGCCTCCCGCCCCTGCCCGCGGCGAGCGGAGAGGGGGGGGCCGATGGGGAGGGGGGGGACGACGCGGGGAAGTTTGGGCTTCCCCGAAAATCCTCCGCCGGGGTTGGGAAGTTTGGGAGGCGTCGGGACGAGCCCGGTATTCGGGACGGCCCAGCCCCGCCGCGGGAGTTACCAGGGGAGGGGGAATGGGGGAGAAAGGGGAGGCCCCCCCCGTTAAACAGCGAAAATCGCTGCTTTTCACCCCCCCATTGGCGGCTGCCCCCGGTCCCTCTCTGCCCGCCGGGCTGCACAAAGGAAGGGGCGGCCGGGTTGGGCTCCGCCGGAGGGATCGGGGAGCAACAGCGTGGCCAGCGGAGGGGCTGCCGTGTGCCCCCGGGGGGCCGAGCATCCCTTCCCCGGGGCTGTCGGTAGCCGGCGAAGGGTTAAAAAGGGGCAGCTTCTGTTTGGAATGGGCTTAACTCCCTTTTTATATCGCGCTTATGGAGATGAAGAGCCGTCAAGAACGAAATGATGCGTCCCTCGGAGGAGGGTTAATGTCTTGCAGCAGCTCCGGTCTACAACTCCTTGGGTCCAGTAGATTTATGTAACCCGCTCATTAATGGTTTATGAAGCCATAAGGGAGCTTTTGGGTCGGTTTCTGTGTTTTCAAGGTTGTTGCCAACGTTTCTTAATTCAGCTGTCCAGAGCAGGAGATAATGATAACTGTAAGCAGTGCCTGATTGTACCGTCCAAGGGGTTTTGTTCTGTTTTGCTTTGTTGTTTTGTATTTTTGACCTTCCTGCCTCTCCAGATAGGCTCCCAAATGAGGAGAGTGGGTAAAATGGAAGGCACAGTCATTCTGTTTGGGTACAATATTACTCTAGGTATGGCTTGTAGCAAAAAGTGTAAATATTTAAGTGGATTTTTGACTCATCAGTTTATTTGACTTATTGATCTATGGTTACTGCTAAAACGGTCTTTATGATTATGTAGAAGTTAATAGTTACCATAGAGAAATGGTATTGTTTTTCTGCTCATCAGTGTGTGTTTTCCATTTCTTCATCTCTTGGCAATTCTCTGTGGAAATGCTGCTTTTTTTCTCCTTAGCAAAAATCTTACAGAAGAAATAAAAAATAACGAGAGCAAAGTAAAAAAAAAAATTAAAAATTTGAGATGTGTACATCCTTGCCTGTGATTTCCAAACTCTTCTGATAGCATGAGTTATCCTACAGAAAACTCTTTTTAATCGGTAATTGAATAAGGTGTTGGTTTTAAGCCTCAGTGAAAACCCTGATTTACAGAACTCGAAGCGTAACACATCAAAGAATTTTTTTCCTGAAGTATACATATGAAATGCAATTCAAATCAGCCATTTAAATCCTTATTAGCAGAAAATTTATTTTTCAGCCTGGGAATTACTTTCCTGCATTTATTACTTCTCTTAAATATGTGGAAACTGATGATGCATGTAAACTGGACAGAGTAGACAAGTTTGTTTATCTCCTCACCCTGGCGTTGTGAAACTCTCCGATTTTGTTTTAGTAGCTGACAGTATTATGCATTTAGGAAGAAAAAACCCTAAACCAACAAGCCACGCTGGGCTCTTAAAACTCGCAAGACTTCCGAGTATTACATTTTGCAGTTTGATATAGCTGCTTGGTGTCAGAATGATCTGTAAATACTTTTCTCTCCTGCCATAATGAGCGTGGTGGGATAAAAACTTTCTGAAATGAAGTCCAGGAAAAGGGGCTATCAGGAAAACATACTGTAGATTTTTTTATCGTATGTTCATAAGAGCTTCTTACAGTGCTGTACAGCATTCTTGAATTCTGCCTATAGCTGTTTTTAGTCTACTGGTAATATTGGTGGAGCTGCATAACATTGAAAAAATAAATATTACATTGCCCTATTGCTATAGAAATTATATCTTCTGCACTCTAGAATAGATCTTTTACAGAATCTCTCAGGTAAGAGGTTCTCGTGGCATCCTGAGCTGGTTTAATTGCTGACTTTGGGGTCCTGTCCTACTTCTTGCACTCATCTGATGCTCCGCTGACTTTGTTCTTCTGGGGGAAAGAGGGGTCAAAGGTTATTTATATTCTTATTTTGCCAGTTTATAGAGCAAGCTTGGTTTAAACTAATGTGAAATCATGGCCTTAGTTTTGCTTTTGAAGTTTATGTTGATCAGTGACCGTATATTAAAATTATAGTTTACTTGTTCAGTCCAGGGATCTCAACTTTACTGAGTGACAGAGCATGTGTCCTTTCTTTTTCTACAGAACACCAAACATAAACTCGATCAAGCTAAGACTTGACATGTCCTCTACAGTCATGTTGCTGCATTACCACCAGAGCAGCTTTGATTTCTCTGGCGATGCTTTCACCAAAAAGGAGCTATTTTTCCCCGTTAGTCCTTCTTCGCCGGTCCAGCTGAAAGCAGTGGTACAGAAAAGTGTTGAGCTTCAGTTGGAACAACTGCCTGAGCTGGCTCACTTCATGGCTATGCAAATGTTACTGCTTGCATAGGAGGAGGCTGTGACCACTCTTTTCTGAAGCAGCTCTATTTTGGTTTTGCCTAAGCTTGCCTGAACTTGGCAGCTTAAACTGGGGCTGTGGTGGTCCTGCCTCCTCCTTTACTGTGCATCTTTCCCTGCTGGCAAGGAAGTCTTTGTGGCTGTGAGTTAAGCAAAGTCAGGGACTTAATGAGGCTGGTAATGAATTGCTTTTTTGTTTTGTTGGATTTTGGCTGGATCATGTTTCTGAACTGGCTGACCATCCAGGTCAGGGACCTGGGATGGGACTTCCTGTTGAAGTGAGTGAGATAGAGGGTGGGAGATGGGGCCATAGTAGCTCTGATTTAAATTTCCATGAGCTTTTCTGGAACTGTACCTCTCCGTCAACATGACCTGGGTTAATAAAGACCGATAGCAACCTGTTTTAAGATGTCTTGGCTGATAAAACCTCAAATAAACTGGAGAGTGTTCTGCTTTTCTCAGCTGGTGCGTTGATGTGGGTGGTGACAGTGGCGAGTGGAGGATGAGGAGCTGGGGAAGCACCGTAGCATCAGACTGACACAGCTGTGTCTGGAAGATGATTTGTTCTCATCTTAATTGTGGGATCCATCAAATAGCCATTTTGGAGTGATGTTCTTTACAGTGTATAGTCAAAGCAGATGTTGCATCAGAAAGAAGAAAACTTTCATAACAAGCAGGATCAAGAAGAATGTTCTGCTGTCCAGGAGGCAGTGGGTTGTGTTTTTTTTCCCTTTTCATTTTTATTGACCGAGACTCGCAAGTATTAATAGGCTGCCATCAGTCCAGAAGTATAAATGGCATCACGTCACGTGTAACTGCGGTTACACATTCATCCAGAATCCTTTCAAGTGTGTTGTAGGAGGTACCTCTGTGAAAACTTGAATTGCGTTGTTCAGAGTAATTCTCTGTAGGCTCCTGATGTTCTGTAGTTATCAGATGTGATGACTTAAAGATGTTTCTGGATAGTAATTTATATATCTTCTGTTTCTGCAGAGTTGTGACTGGAAGTGTGTCAGGACAAATGATTTGTGTGTGAGAAATTGGC